AGGCTGGGTTTAGGGGTTTATAGGGCTTTATAGGGCTTATAGGGTTTATAGGGTTTATAAGGTTTTAGGGTTTAGGGGTGTAGAGTTTAGGGGTTTGGGGTTTAGGGGTGTAGGGGTGTAGGGGTTTAGGGGCTTAGGGGTCTAGGGTTTAGGGTTTGGTAGTTTTGCAGGCTTTCAGTATTTGGGAGAGTATGTATGATTATCAGGCGCTTAGGGAGGCCCTATTATAGAACCCTATGGCAATTTTTAAAGGGGGACTCCATTATAGAACTGGGCAAACCTACGGAGTCCTTATAGTAAACCCCAAATTGTTGGAGACCGGATTAAGGACAAATAGTGCTGGGATTCCCTATACACTACTCTTAAGGATTGAGGCTATTGGGTTTCCAACTCTTGGGCTTCTACTATAGGAGGAACCGAAGTGTTTGGGGATTTTAGGGACCGGCATCAGCACCGCCATGTCAAGTGGGCGCCAAGTGTCAAAGCCAGGCTGCATGCGCGATAGAGGTGTCGGGATAATTACCAATGTTATTCCTTAGGGTTCCAGACTATAGTGTACCATCATCTTCCCCCAAAGTCCAGTAGGGCTCCCTACTACAATGTACTACACTCTGCCCCCCAGAGCCCGATCCTAGTTATGAAGGCCGCTAGACAAGATTTGCTAAGATCAAATCCTAAACCAAACTTTGTTTGCAGCCAGGCAAATTTGAACCGATTCCTGGCGTTTGGCATTTGGACCCAAGAGTTCTCTATATGCGAAGGACGCTGCGCAGAAACACGGGTAAGATTCATCAGGTGCAAAACTGTGCGCAGCATGGTTTCTTAGCGTGAGAGTTTCCCTAAACCCTAAACCCTACTCCCATGTAACAGACGTAGCACTTGGGCATGAAAGAAGTCGAAAGTGCTCCTGCTTCACCCGTACCTTACATCTTGAGCGTAACGCCTTGCATAACTCCAAAGCCTCTAAAGGATGGTGGGCCCTCTGATATTCCTGGGCTCCAAGTGCTTATATAGTATATACTCAGGCCTTCAAGTACCTAGAATAGGAACCCTTTTGAGGCCTGAGTATATATGATTGCTATGCATTACTATGCAGGTACATGGAGCCTTTGGGAAAGGCCTAAACCGTAAAAACCCTAAGCCTATCTTCAGGAGGTGGCTGAGGTCGCATGGTGACCCACCATAGCCCAGCATAACCTTCCGGGACTAGGGTTTAGGGATTTTGTAGGTTGTTGATCATTTCAGTATTAAGGTTTAGAGATCAGGGATTGCGGTTCTCTTTAAATCATTCAAAACGGTAGCTTCCGTAGTTTGTCTTACTTCACTCTATTTAGGATAGTGTGTCCGTTCACCTGTTGGGAGGTTCAGCTCCTTGTTTCAAGGGATCTTCACCAAATCTTACTTTCTGCCCCCCTTCCGAGGGGAGTGGGGTTCAGGTAGAGGTCTTAAAACGATGGGTTTTGCCAGCACCCACCCCTCCCCCCAACTACCCTCTAGTAGAGCCTAAGTACCCTAAACTCTAAACCCTAAGCCAAAAGCTCTAAACCCTACGCCCGAAACCCCCCAGCTACCCTGGTATGAGAGCCTAAGTACCCACGATCAAGGACCCCTAGGCTTCTTGAAAGGGTGCTTGAGAGGTGCTGGTGAGTTTGGGGTTTGGGGCTTGGGGCTTCGGGTTTAGGGGTTTAGGGTTTAGGGGTTTAGGCTTTAGGGTTTGGGGTTTAGGGTTTGGGAGTTTGGGGGTTCAGTTGCGAGCATTTCGCAGCAGGAGGCATGGAAAGGTTTGGAGAGACAAACCCTTTAAGGTAGAATTTATGAGGCCCCTACACCCCAAGCTCAAAACCCTAAACCCTAAACCCCCCCCCCCCCTACAAGAAAGTTGGTTTGGGTAGATTGAGGTAGGCTCTGAGCTGGACCCCGGGTCCTCCACCCAGACATGTTCACGGTTTAGGGTTATGGGTTTGGGGTTTAGGGTTTAGGGTTTTTTTTGGCATAAACCTGCACCCTAAGCAACCGATGGTTTTTCATCGTGGTTTCCTTTCACGAGTCCTTAAAATGGTAGGTTACTTGGTCCAGCCGTTTAGCTTCGAGAGCCTCCAAAGCCCGCATCGGTCCTACATCTAGCCTCCGTTGCAGTCCCTTTGTTTGTGCAAGTGTGTGGGGGGGGGGACCCTAACACATGGTCAGCCCTAAACCCAAATTGGTGAACTTCTCACTTTCGGCCCAAGTACGACTGACATCCATTGAAGCGATGGAATCTTCTTCTGGGTTGAGGTTGTAGCAGCGTAGCCATTATGAATCAAACCGCCAGTGTATAATTTTCGTTATTACAAATGTTCTGCTTGGTGTTATCAGTTTTGGCCTTCACAAATGTGCGATCAGTGTTGATTTTTTGCGGGGAAGAGTACTTTCAGCAGTGTTTTCGCATTTTTTTGTATTCTGTCACGAAAGGGACCATGGACTGGCAAAGCTCAGCAGGTGCTTGCTCTGTTTCGTTCAGGCCAGGACGATCCAGCTGCGAAGCTCTGCATACCCTGAAGCTTCCAGATGCCCAAACTCCAAAGTGCATGGTAAAAAGCATGTTGAAACTCTTGCGTTTTGAACCCCAAACCCTATTACACACCTTCCTGCGTAGGGCGTAGAAGAGTTGTTTGCTTTGGAGCTTCTCAGAGATTGGTCCTAGGTAGTATTAGGGAGTAAAGGGGACCTTGTTGAGAGGGTCTAAATCCCCAAGGGTCCCCCTAATCCTAACTCCCAATTGGGCTGAGGTCTAAGAGATTCCAACCTGATGGTTCTGGGGGAGAGTTGCGGTTTTCTGGAGTTCGGGCTACCCCGAAACCCTAAGCCCCTAAGCCTAAAAAGCCTAAGTTTTCTCGTGTTTTCCAGTGCTTAGGCAAATATGCATCAAGGGTTTCAACTCTAAGCTGCAGGAGTTTTGAATTTGGGGGTTTGGGCTTTAGGCTTTGCTTGATAGAAAGCTTGTTAAACTTTTTGGCATAGAAACAGGTATTCCCTCAGTGCTGTTTTACGCAGTGCTCTTGCAAAGCAGCTAGCCAAGAAGTGCTCTTGCTGTCCGTCTTATGAAAAAGCAGCCACTGCGAAACCATCGTCCTGACGCTACTGACAGTTAGGCAATAGTATCCAACATTACAGTGTTAATGCAGATCCCAGGTTTGGAAACCCTAAACCCTAAAAATTGAACCCAGACTTAGAAACCCACTACCTCACGGTTTAGGGTTTTCGGTTTAGGGCTTAGGGTTGAGGGTTAGGGTTTAGAGCAGGCTGTAGATCGAAGGTGGCAGCTAATGTGCCCGGACTCCTGCGCCGCAGTGCCCATGAAAAATGGAGTTCCAATCGCAAGAGAAGAGACCTCCAAAATGCAGCTCAATGCGCAGAGTGTGTTCATGAGATTGTTCACGAAATCCTGAACCCTAAGCCCTAAACCCAGTGTTTAGAGATATTGAGATCCATCTCTGTGGGCTTTTGCCGAAACCGAACAGACCTTCGTAGGTCGCCATGGACATGGCGGCATGTGAGCCAATGGACGTGGAGCCGGAGGCGCTTGGAGAGGCGGAGGATTCCAAGAAGGGCTCCTTTCAGGGATCGGGCCAAGGGATCTCCTAGGATTGTTCTTTCGGAGTTTGAGGGGCCTTAGAACCCTAAAACCCCTAAATGTTTAGGGTTTAGGGTTTAGGGTATGTTTTGGGTTTAGGGTTTGGGAGTCGGAGGCACTGGGAGAGGTTATCCTGCTCCAGACGCAGCTGAAGATGCACGGTACACCAGTGAGGCCTACCCTCATGCAAGAGCTTCTCTGGCCCACTCTTGAAAGCACTCTTCGGTTTTTAGCAATGTATGTACGTTTTGGTATCACGCGAATAAAGCACAAAAGGCAAACAACATAAGCATCAAAATGTAATGAGCAGGTAACTAAACATATCTACATGTATATGTTTTTATGTGTACATACATATGTATATATTGATTTATATTTATATGCATACCCTAATATTGGGTATATATGTCCAGGTCGTATACTGTGTGTACATATATTTAGGAAGTAGCACTCTTGAAACGGCCTTGAATGAGCCCCGAGGCTTGATGTTGGGCCTATTCTAACCATGGTGTCGGCTCAGCTTCAACATCCGATGCCACTCTTCGCTTTGACGGTGGGGCTGGTGGTGCTCGCCGCCATGTTGTGCGGGCTGCGACGGTGCTTGCAGTCCGGCATTACCCCGCAGCCTCGACAAACAGAAGGCATTAAGCTAGGAATCTATGGAATCTTGCTGACACAGACGCTGAATGCATTGGCCACCATGGTGGTGTTACCAACCCTGCCTTTCTTCGCGATGACGCTGGGCGCGACAGCCTTGGAGGTTTCTCTCATGAACTCTGCATATAACCTGGCTCAGCTGCCGGGCTCTTGTTGAGGAAGTCATTTTGAGCTGCCATAGTACGGAAACCATACTGTTTACCATAGGTTTATAGATCCCAGATTCGGGGGTTTCCGAAAATTGGGGACCCTAATATAGTACCCTCAATAGTAGGATCCTTATGATAAGAACCCCACATTGATGTACCCCAAAGTTTCGGAAAGTCCCATGTGATGGTAAGGGACTTGAGAACCTAGGCTGTTCTGCTCCCCGCTCCATATGGTAAGTTACCCTAAACCGTAAACCCTAAAACCCTAAAGCCCAAACCCTAAACCCTAAACCCGAGAGCCTAGGATGTTCTGCTCCCCGCTCCTGGGCGCACTCTCCGACCGCTATGGGCGGAAGCGCGTTATGCTTGGAGGCATCTGCATCCAGATGATCTGCAACACCTTCATGGCTCCTCGACCCTAAACCCCTATAAGCCCTGAGCCCTAAACCCTATAAACCCTATAAACCCTAAACCCTATGAACCCTAAACCCTAAACCCTATAGACCCTAGACCCTAAGTCCTACAAACCCCTAAACCCTAAACCGACTCTGGCACATGATACCCTCCAGTGCCTTTTGCTCGTGATAATGCGCCCGGGGGAGATGCTGTAGCCCGGAGAGCTTCGACGTGATCGTTGTTTCAAAAGACCAGGGAGCCCTATGAATTCTTTAAGCCCGTAGAAATAGACATCATCTACCATCTAAGGCCTGAGCCTAAGCCCCTAGACCCTAACCCCTAAACCATATACCGGGCTTAGGCTTTAGGGTTAAGGGAAAACAACCATATAAGGCCTAACCTTAAACCTAAACTCTACAAGCCCTCACCCTACTAAGGCGCAATCCAGCAGTCTGACGCAGTTGCTCCTAGCCCGGATGGCTGTTGGCATGGCTTTGAGCACGGGTCCGGTCGAGATGGCTTCTTGGCCTGACTGGGGGTTTTGGGGGGTATAGATATGGGGTTTAGGGTTTAGGGGATTTTGGGGGTTATAGATATGGGGTTATAGATATTAAGTTACTAGGTTTAAGGTTTAGGGGTTTGGCTTCATGCGAACAGGTTTAGGCTTAGGGTTTAGGGGCCCTGGGGGGTCTTGGGGGTTACTTAAGGGTTTAGGGTTCTAGAGCTTAGGGTTTAGATGGGTTTAGCGATTAGAGAATCGGGCATTGGGATGTGGTAAACTACATCGTCAGGAGGGAACCCTTCAGCAACAGCATGCTGCTCATTCAGGTGTCGAGTCGGGGTGTTATTACGGTTTCGACTCGTTAGGGTTTAGGGTTTAGGGTTTTCCTGTGATTTCTACTTTTGGTTTTGGCGTTTTGTGGCGTTTACTTTTCGGGTTGTGAGTTCCATTTAGGGACATAAGATTTTGGGGGGGAGCTTTCGGATTCTATTTGGGGTTCCTCCTTCTTGCACAGGTGACGACTTCTAGCTGCCTTCTACTGTTGATGATATAAATCCTGCATTACCTTAAGGACCCTAAACTCTGGGAATTGTGGTGCATTCCTTATTATTTATTCTGGGGTAATGCAGGATTTATATCATCAACCGGTAGTTGTAGCGTGCTGCCCTCGGTGTTACAATGTCGGTGTGCCCAATGCTGGATTCTCCTCGCTGCCCTCACGCCTGAGAGCCAGATTCATCTTCCGAATTCTTGCAGTTTAGGGGTTAGGGGTTTTAGGGTTTAGGGGTTTAGGGGTTTAGGGTTTAGGGGTTTAGGGTTTAGGGTTCAGGGTTTAGGGTTACGGGGTTAGGGTTTAGGGTTTGAGGCTCATGCTAGTATTCATCGAGCAGCGCCTGTATGTATTTGATGTCGTTCTTGCTGCCTTTGTCGTCTTAGCCGGGGCAGTAGTGCTTCAGCAGCGGTTTTCGTGGTGGTAGTCGCAGTAGCAGCAGTGACGAAAGTGCTAGGCATCCTTGTGGAGGTGGTGGAAGTGGTAGTAGTACGAAGTAGTAGAGCAGTAGGGTGTAGTAGTAGTAGTAGTAGTAGTGTAGTGGTAGTAGGTAGTAGGTAGCAGGCAGTAGGCAGCAGGCAGCAGGCAGTAGGGAGTCGGTAGTAGGTAGTAGGTAGTAGGTAGTAGGTAGTAGGTAGTAGGTAGTAGGTAGTAGGTAGTAGGTAGTAGGTAGTAGGTAGTAGGTAGAAGGTAGAAGGTAGAAGGTAGTAGGTAGTAGGTAGTAGGTAGTAGGTAGTAGGTAGTAGGTAGTAGGTAGTAGGTAGTAGGTAGCAGGGAGCAGGCAGCAGGCAGTAGGGAGTCGGTAGTAGGTAGTAGGTAGTAGGTAGTA